TGGACATTGCTGTTATAAACATGGGGGTGCACGTACCCCTTCGGATCCCTACTTTTGTATCTTTGGGGTAAATACCCAGTAGTGCAATTGCTGGATCGTATGGTAGCTCTATTTTCAACTTTTTGAGGAACCTCCATACAGTTTTCCAGAGTGGCTGCACCAGCTTGCATTCCATTTGAAGGATAAAAATGTTTAGTTGGCTAGGGCTGAACTAAATACAGAGCTTATTTTATCCTGTTCTTTGGTATTTATATAGGTTTCTAGAGTTTCTAGAGTTTCTTATGTTTATTCCATCATCAATGTAAACAATGATGTCTAGGCTCTTCCCAGGTTCAACTTGAATTTTAAAACCTATTTTTCAGGTCCAAAGTGGTTAAATCTCCAATTGTCCCAATTTTGAGCACTTAAAATTATAAGAAATCTTTTGTTTTCTTAGATAATAGCACTATTTTCCCACATTAAGATTTAAACTGTTTCCAGTACATTGCCACCTTACATACAACCATCAAACCCCTTGGCACAAACATTGATTTAAATTACCAATTGCTTACAGTGAGTGTTAACTATAATTTTAGGAAGAGGAAATTTGTTTCCTAATTAGTTCATTTTACTGGCCTGAGTCTGCACTGGAAAAGAAAAAAAGAAGAGTATCCAGTCTAGTTTTCTAATATTTCCCATATATCATACCTATTAAGAATAGGGACACCCTCAGTTCTCAATAGGGGTGCTGTTGGCATTATGATGCGAGAATTCTTCATTAAGCCAGAATGTCTTGTATGCATTGAAGATTATTTGGCATCTCTGGCCTTGTACTCACTAAACACCCGGGGCTGTCCCCAGTCATTACAACAATCAACCTCCTCTAGACATTTCCAAATGTCCTCTAGGGAGCAACCCCCCCCCCAAAACTTAAACCTCAGAGGAAGAACTAATTTTTTTAATGCGTCTGTTTATTATCCACTTACAGATAATGATTTCTAGGTTATTCACAAGTTATAGCCAAAGTTTTCTATAGTTTAATTTTTTTAAAAAGTATCAGGCTAATATTTTGTTTTTATTCCACCACAAGCTTAATATAAGCTCTAAAACTCAAATATATTTTATTTTATTGTAAAACTCAACTATATTTTAAATTCTCAGTCAGGGCAAATGAAGTGGTTACCAAGCGGTAGACTGAACTGGTGGGTGCGTGTGCGCACGCACACACACACACACACACACACAACAGCTTTGTGACTTGGTTACATAATTTTCTGCAGGAAAAGGATACGCGGCAAATTTTTGAGAAAACTGGCCTTCAAACATAGTGACATCAAACCGCTTAATCAGTACTTTCAGACTTCCTCTTTCAGTAAATCCAGAATTGTTCACTAACACACACACAAAAAACAACCCTACAACTTCACTAGTCTTGAACACCAGTCTTTAAAGATGAGCAATATCAATAAGGAGAAACAGAATGAACAACTGAAAATATTAACAAGTTAGATTTGACAAGATTGCACTTCAGTTAGTCATGACAAGATACTATGAGAAGTTTTGTCTTCCCAAATGCATAAGTAAAATCTCCACTCACCTTACATAAGACCTTGTCGCACAGCCACCTCCTATTAGAAAGGATACTGTGTGTTGATGTGCTATAAAGCATAGTCTATAACACTTGGTTACTGACTTAATCAATTCAAATCTAGAAATCTTTTCTTTTTTTTAACCAGCCATTCCAAGAAACACAAACCTCACAGGCATGCTCACCAATACAGGAAAGAGAATAAAAAAAAAAAAAAAAAGTGGAAAACTTACCATTTACCTATAACTTGAAGAAATACTTCAAGAAATACAGCACCTACTTCAGCTCAACAGCTAAGCCCCAAGAAACTTCATATCCCTTATGGGTTCTCGTCAGGAACCTACCTATGTCCTGAAATGGTTAGCTGAGATGCACTTCTCTTCAAAAACATTCTAGTTTTTAAGACTTGGCTTCAAAATAAAATTTGATAAGGGGTGCCTGGGTGGCTCAGTTGGTTAGGCGTCGGACTCTTGATTTCAGCTCTGGTCATGAGCTCAGGGACATGAGGTCGAGCCCTGTGAGGGGCTCACGCTGGGCGTGCAGCCTGCTTAAGGTTCTCTCTCTCCCTCTGCTCCTCCTCCTTGTGTGTGTTCTTTCTTTCTCAAAAAAAAAAATAATAATAATAATAAAAATAAATGTTAGGTTGAAGATTAAATTAAGAGAGACTCACATATATTTTAGCGAGAAATCTTTATAAACTCTAACCTGGGTAAAACATGTTTACGTGACGTGG